TAGCAATTAAACCTATCAACCTACAAAAATTCTGTCATTTATAATTCTTTTAAGCTATGATTTAAACTGTAATTGATGTCTTTATAGATATTAGTGACCTTTATTGTGTGTCATCAGGAGTGCCACAATAGAACCTTCACCATGGAATTCAAGACAAGGTTTCATGTGGGTACTCCTGGGCTAATAATCCCTACAGTTATCCACTACTGTAGACCATCAAGCTGACACAGAGTAGAAAGTCTTCCGATTTCTTGGCCCATGTTTGGTTCTGAAGAGGGAGCATCAGCTCTAACTATAAAACAAAAGATAAAATAGTGTTTTTCTTTTTCTGAGACAAAGTTAAAACCACTAAATTGCAAAAAAATGCAGAACAAAAAGGATTGGAACCTCTAAGAACTGTGCCTCTTACTGTGTATTAATTACAGGAGTAAGAGTAGTAGTTTGTGACAGGTTTAATTTGCAATACTACTTCTCGTCTCTCTGTGAATGTTTAATTGACTCTCCATCTTGCAAGAAGTAGTGCGTTCAGGTATTGGTTTGTTTGGTGCTAATTTGCTTGTCTACTAGTGGATTGGTTGCTCCACTAGTGCAAGTCATGATGCATAAATCAACTTCAGAACATATATTAAGATGATAATTTTAAAGGTTCAAGAGCCCAAGTGTTTGACCAGGTATTCTGTGTGGGAATTAATGTCCCTCTCTTTTAATTCTCATAAAACAGTAATAACTAGACTGTGCAGGAACTACCTCATGAAGGGACCAAACTCATGGATGGCCTTTATAATATCTTAATCTCCCTCAACATATAATGATCACATTGTATTATGTAATCTACACTAGAATAAATGAAACAACTAACAATATAATGATGAGAGTCTTCAGAACTGGAGATTTATGTTACCCTTATTTCAATGTCAACAACATGGCATCAGAATGATTGGTTCTTCAATATCTAAAACAATGTATTAGATATCAAAGAGTCATTGTTCAGGCAATTTTGTAATGTGAATGCGATCATGAAACCAGCTCACAAAAGGGAAAACCAGATAAAAATCAGTCCAATAGCAATGGTGTGGTTCATTGTTTGTGAGGGTTGGACAATGTCAAATCCATCGATCGTATGGTATACTTTTTTCCTTCTTTCCTTAGCAAAACATCTATAGTTTACTGCCTGGACGGTTCATTTCACTGGAGTGCTGTTACTCTGAGGCTACTGCTACAAAATCTTTCAAAATTAAGGGAGTATCAAACTTATAATCTATATCCAGCCAACCTACTCATCTAAAACATGTAAGTTCTCTGCATCTCAGAAAGGTTATTGTGGATGGTTGAGAAACTTATGGCACAACTGTAAGCAGTCATTTTTGTGAGTTCTTAGTTCTGTTCAAACTAACATGGATAAGATTTTTCTTCTTCTATTTCTTTTAGATAGCACCGGAAGCTGGTAAATGTTTCAAGTACTAACTACCCATGAAGTATAACTATTCCATGGCGCGCGCACACAATCTGAAAGCATCACATTTCTACTTCAGGTACAAATGCATTGATTATACAGAAATTCTGTATTATGCATGATTGATGCACATACAATAGGCAAAGCTTTAGCTGTGATTGTGAACTGAACTAGAACTATAATTATTCCAAAAAGCTGAATATATACATATAGATATATGTCACTAGAATGCAACTCAAGATACTTTTGGTCATGACACTACAGATAACTAATGTCAAAATAGTGACCAGAAGAACAACCAGCAACAACACAATGTAAACAAAATATATGTACAGTAACTAAAACATGCAAGTTTCAGAAGTCATGGTTGTTCAACTCATTCTTCAAATCGAGTAAAAGATTAAAGGTTTACCCCATATCAGTAGGCCCTGAGCAGGTCACCCACATGTGAAGGTGCAAAGCAGAATCATATATCCTCGTACCCAAAGAAGCATGGATCTGTTTCCAGACTGCTTGTCCTGCTCCAGAGAGACATGAGGCTGGGTCCACATGCCAGTTAGGTGAGCAAAATGACATGATTCATGGAGGTGGTCTTCTCTAAGCTCAAGAACCACATCAAACCCTTCCATGATTCGGGGGCAACGTGGAATCTGATTGAGACCCACCTGTTTGGAGTCTTCTGTTAGCCTGGTGCTGGATGGTGCATTTATACAAACAGGTGTCGTGCAGCCATGGAAATCTAATCAAGCAGTGTTGTCAATGCAGGCAGGTATAACAAGACGGTGACACATTGAATCTGGAAATCGATAGCTGTAGCAGCACAAAGTTGAGGGTATTTGGCCTTGTTGGAGTTACCTTCGTGTTGGTGTACGTGTCACAAGATGTGTACTCCGCAGGACACACAGCATACAGTCAATAGATTAAATAGCAGTATCTAAACGTTATAAACATAGAGAGAGAGAGAGAGAGAGAGAGAGAGAGAGAGAGATTACGAAAGTCAATAATTTTCAGCATTAGATTATTATTAATGAGAGAATCCAATAATTTTCAGCATTAGATTATTATTAATGAGAGAATCCAAATAGAAATCATGACAACACACGTCACTTTGGACTTCTAAACCGCCTCCGACCGGTTTAGGGCGTTCGAACCGGGTTTGGGTTTGCGCACCGCATTCGATCCGACCGGAGATGTTAATCGCAGCGGGATTGGGCCGACGCTGACCGCCTTGCCGTTTCGGCAGCTCAGAAGACCGCGGCATCTCCGCCTCCCCCCCGTGGCGGCGCAGCGCTCGTGCTCCTCCCGGAAGGAGCGGTGGTGACGCTCCACTCGACGCTCGCCTCGCTGGGCGCATTGGACGGTGGCGGTACCTCCGCCTCAAGGCCCCCACGGAGATGGTCGCGGGAGTCGAGGGAGTCGGGTCGGCGGTAGGTCGTCTGGGTGGAGAAGTTTTCGATCTCGAAAAGGTCTGAGCTTGTGTAGGTCGCCACGTCGTCGTCTGGCGGGGGATTCGGGTGAAACTTCGGCGGTTTACCTGGTCGGAGAATGGGAAAACCACGGCGGCAAGTTGTGAATCCGGTGGTGTGCTCAGCGCTGCTGCGGTATGCCTGGTTGGCCGGAAGACCTCCAGAGATTCTCGTGGTGGTTCTTCGGCGAGGTTGTTCAAAGAGGACGGATTCAACACGGGGCAGGAGAAGACATGGGAATAGCCGAATAGGCTGCTGGAATTCACCATCCGGCAACCAACTTCGGCGGGAAGCAAGGACCGAGTCAAATTAGCTAAGAAGCTGGGACTTTTGAGACGATTTCCAGGAATTATCTAACCTTTATCATCTCCTCGAAGCCGAACTCGTTCTTGGTCTCTTCCGGCATCACTCTGTCCGGGAAGCTATTGAGGCCCATTTCCCCTGTTCTAAAGCAGCGATTTTTGGCGGTGGACGACGCGTTCAAATCCGAACCAGAGCGAATCGAGCTCTTGGGTTCCGAGCACGTCTCATCAACGTCGACGGACTTCCTCCCATAACACGGGCAGTTGCGGCCGAAGAGACGGCAAGCGGGGAAGGACGGCGGCTTCGCTGGTTCGTTCAAGAGCAAGGCGCTCGCGGCGACAGCGATGGAGCACGGCGGGGTGGGAGAGTAGCCCCGACTAGCTATTCCAGCTGGCCTCCGACGAGCCTGTCGGAGTCGAGTAGAACGAACGCGTTCGGCCGTGCCTCGCGTAGCCATCGGTCGAGGAGAACGAGAACTCCCTCCATGGGTGGAAAGGTTGCACCTTTCGCCCGCTCCGTCGAGAATCACGGTCCCGCTAATGCCGTCGTGGCCTTCGTTGTAGTAGCGCTCGGCGTCGAAGATGCTGATCTCGGCGTCGTCCACACAGCGGCCAAAGCGGTGGTCTGCGCCGGCCGCGGTGTCGGATCGGGGAACACCCGAGCGGATGGAGGTTCCCTGAGGTGCGGTTTTGGCGGGAGAGAGATGAAAGAGAGACTGCTTTGGAAGGTGGTTTGCACAAAGCTTGCTCTCTCCATCACACTGATATGCCTCTCTCAAGGCGGAACGAGAGAGATGTTAGTTCGGGAAGACGCAGCGAATTGAAGACTGTACAATTCAGCAGATGGCTGAAGCTACTGAGAAGCTCATGTAGAGTTCAGTTTTACTTCAAAAATGCAACCTTGTAATGTGACATGTAAAACTTTATTTACCAGCTGCATCAAGTCAATAAGAAGATTAAGATTCCTTGATTGCATCTGAGAGATCATTATCCGCTACATTTTCCCCCAAGTTTCCATGTGAGATCATGTAAGATCCTCATGTGAATCTGAATCAGTAAACCAGGTTGGAAGGGAAGAATCTTTGGGTAGAACAATACATTGGATACATGAAAAAGAAGGAATGAAGCAACTGTGTTAACCTCTGCAAGGCTTTTGTTTCAGATAATTAACTCTGTCTTGTTGAGCTCAGACAAAGGTGAAGAACTGTTTGAGATCAAGGCCACTTTGCTCTGCTGAAAACTACCAGAGAGAGCAGCATTTCATCTCTTCTTCTTCATATGAACCAAATGATGTTAAAGCAGTGCATTTGTTCTCAGCCGCAAAATTGTTTGTTGGCTCATTTGCATTCTTTATGACCAATTGTTCTAAACAGTTCCTGAACCCTTTCTTTCTCAAAAGAAAACTCCTGTCTCTCCTCTTAGCAAGAAGAGAACACCTGTTCCTTGTTTAGTCATCAGAAAACTACAAGGTCTTAAACATCTCTGTTTCCTGTGGTGTATTGTACTTCTCTTTCATGTCCATCCCTGTGTAGGACCTAAACAGTAGCAAAGACAAGGCCAATATGTGGGTCTCAAAAGCAATGAAAATTTCAGACTGTGTCATGAAATTTACTCTTCACCTCTAAAGTAAATTAGATGCTGCTCAAAGAGGCTTAGATAAGATGATCCACATGTAATAGAGAATGCTAAAGTTGGCAACTCATGTAGATAGAATGTGAAATGAACTTTCAACAAAATGAAAACAGAGTTTGCAGTGGACTTCTGTACCCAAACAAAAACTAATTTGAAGCATACAATTTTATTGAAGACATCAGACATCCATCCTCTTACATATGTGATCTCCTTCAATCAAATTAATTGTAAGATCCAGAACACTTGGGAGATCTGTAGTTCCAAGATGTAGTGTTTTTGATGCACTCTGCCAATGCAATTAAAGAAACAAAGGTGCAAATACAATTAAGATTTCTGTATTCCAGCAAACACTATCAAGTGCATACAACACCATAATGATAAATAATAATAGGAAAGCTACAAACAGCTTCAGCCATGGTAATAATTAGACACATAAGGATGTGGTAGATCATTAAATTAGGACAAGAGGTGAGATTGCTTCTGAAATTGTGATCACTGGAAGAGGCATTTGATTCTGCTGATGCCATTTCTCATGGGTTAAGTAGATGTTGATACCTGTCAAGAGGTAAAAATCATATTAATCTATCTCATGAACTTTATCATTGCATGAAAGCAGAAGTGTTCAGACCAACATCAGCTCCACTGAACATGGAATACTAAATGGTCTCTGAGTGAAATATCATATATTTGAGACTTTCTAAGCTTGAAGATGGATAAGAAGTAACTTATTTTGATGGCATAGCATATAGTTCCAAATCATAAATAACACACAAGCATCAAATAAAGATAAAAACTTTTATATGTGATATAAAATCTGATCATTCAGCTGGAATGAAGTAGATCACATTTCCATGTACTACTATTCACACCATGGGGTATGTCTTGTTCTTCGGATAAACATGAAGATATGTGTATACACACATGTGCACACACAGCGAGAGAGAGAAAGAGAGAGAGAAATGGATATTAGAAGCATTAATTGTTTTGAGAAGCTCACCAAGAAGTAGCTTTCACCCATCTGCAAGCTCTGCAGTAGAATTCCGTATTCATTGATGGGAAGAAGCTCTCCGGAGGAGTGGACGAGCATCACATTTTGGCCAAACATAGCTCTCAAGTCTATAGGTCCTCTTGGAACTTCTGATGGGATCCCATTGATGAAGACAGTGATGGTCCCTGCATTCAAACATGCAGTTGGTGAACTCAATATTTCACTTGTTATTGCCTCAAAATAATCTTTAGCATGCTTCTCATCGATGCAACAGAAGAAAACAACAACAAGACATTAGGAGAAGAACAGGCATCATCGATAGAAAACATGAAACGATCGATTTAGTTGATGCTGAGAGTGCTTGATAACATGCTTCTTTCTGACTCCAAAAGAAGGAGCTGCTTTTAGTTGAGCAGAGAAACACAAATCATTTGCTTTTAGGTCGACATAATCCTTTTTGTCGAGCTGTCGAATTCGAGAACCAAACAATAAATATAATCCTAATTTAGTTGTGATATGTGTAAGTAAATCTTACTACTATATATCTCCAATGAGCACCCACTAAAATCTTATGCAAAAGGAGTAAGCACAAAGCCATGCGCTAACCAGGCTGATAGTTCATTGGACCGACGTCAGGATAGCACATAAAAGGATTCTGGCAACTCTCCATGAAGCCCATCTGGCGAGAGAAGAAGAGATCATCGGCACCTCCATCATCCCCCACAAGGCTAGAGGATGAGGAGGAGGAAGAAGAAGAAGAAGAAGCAGAAGAAGAGCAAGCAAAGAGCCTGCCTCCACCAGACGAGTTGTTCGATGACATGCCGGTCGAGGTCGGTTCATACAGAGCTGCACCACCGACCTGGCGTGCGTGCATCGCAGCTCCGGGATCCGCCGCGAGGCCCGCGGCTTGCAGCTGCCGCTGCCGGCGGCGGGACCTTGACCGCCGGTTCTGGAACCAGTAGAAGACGTTGGCGTCGCCGACGGAGCCGAACTTCTCGAGGAGCTTGCGGATCCTCACCGTCTCATCCTTGGGGGGGTTAACCATGCCGCTGTTGAAGATGGACTCCAGTATGAGGATCTGCTCCGGCTTCGGGGTCCAGCGGGAGCGCACGGGCTCCGCGCCGGCGAGACCGCGGTTTGGGCTGCCGTTCCGGCCGTCCATGGCGAGTGCAAGAGATGTGAGAAGAGAGAGAAAGATCGAAAAAGATCGAACACTATGCGCATATGCCTGAACAGCACAAGCGTGGGGTGAGGTATTTATAGATAGCTTTGTTGGAGAGGATAAGGGGCTGTCTTCTTTTGCTTAGGACAAACTCAAATGACCAAAATGACACCGTCTACCTTTTATCTTCCACATGGTTCTCATGAAATATTGCATGCGATGTGGGCTCTTTTGGTCAACATTGACCTTGGAAGTCTAATGTTTCCTATGTTGGGTGTCCAATTGCAGTGTGAAGGGGGCGCTGCGAAGCGTGGGGATGTGGGAAGACCGAGAGACCGAATGGTCAAAGAACCGCAGCACCGAATCATTAGGGCTGACGTCGCACGCATGGGCACAGAGAACCCATGGGAAGAAGGAAATGACAGGTTCAGATGAAGGCAGCAGAAGCATATACGCGGTGTGGCGAAGGATGCAGGCATAGGGTTGGCCCAAAGTTCGGCTGGCTTTGCCGTCTTATCACATCAGAACCCGATGTGACAGCGGAGACTGCGGAGGCTTGTTGGTGTCGCCTCTGTCGCCTTCACCATTACGCATGGTTTGTCCTTGTCCTCGAGATAAATCCGTGGGAGAGTCGGTCGTCTTCCCTCTCCATGGGAGTTTTACCGCAGCTCAGCTCACCATGCATGACTGCTACGTAACTCCATGCAACAAATCAGTACAAGGCAGGCCATCGATCGACATTCCCATTACCCGAAACAGGATAACATGATCGCATCGAGAGAGGTGCAGTCTTCATCTTCTTCTGGTCATCAGAACTATTCCCAGCTTAACATACAGCAGTTCTGCTGCTCCTCTTGGAGTTACCTTGGAACAAAATCATCCTTATAATTTACTGATGTGTGTGTGTGGATCCATCATACGGCGGCAAATGGACAAACCGCCCGAATGGAATCAGAATAATCTGCAAGAGAAATCTGTCATCCATGCACTTTCACCAATACTAAACATCACCCTAGAAACGAGGGCATGAGACAGGAGATGATGCTTCATTAAGCAAACAGAAGCATCTTGGTTGGTGACCTTAGTCAAAAAGGTCCAGTGAGTGATGTTTGTTTGTCAGGTTGTCATACTTTAAGCAATTGCACTGTCAAAGATGAGAATGTCATGAAGTCGCTCTCCTCAAACAAAGATGATCCCTGTCATGAAGATTCCCCATTACACTTCCTCAAAAGGGCCCTCCATGTGCCACACTGTTCGGTGTCACCTCATTCTGTGTCTTCCAAGGTTTTCCGCTGCTTCTATCGACCAGGGTTTTTCTTAATTAGGTTACAAGGCTCTTGAGACCAGATCTCTGAACTGCATGTTCATTGTCCACCCTAAGTGATCATGGAGCTCCTTTAAACTATTCTTAAAGCTACTGGCAGTCAAACCAGATACAAAGAACCTTTTTCTGCCCTTTTGCTTTTGATGTAGTTCTAATGTTAACAAATGGCATTCAACATCATAATTGTGCAGACAAGCAGTACTTTGCTGATGGTTGGAACTTGCTGCGTTCTTTGAGCCGAAGAGCCGCTGTCGGTCGATTTGATTATAAGCTGCTAATGCACGACACTGTTCGGAAGGCAACACATGATGGAATCACGTTATCAGCTGAAGCTGGTGATTCATAAACATCTACCGCCATACTTTTGTTTTGGATTCCCCGGCAAAGGTGGTGCCGGACATGACAAAGGAAGGCAATTGTATATTGTGCAAGTACAAGACGTTAATAAAGAAACTCCTGTGATGAACACAGGTGAGTCTGCTTCCCGTGGCTTTTTGTGATCAAGCAACAGTGAGCAGGCGAGGATGGGACCGAACGAGGAAGGCAAAGCTTGGTGCAGTGCCGCAAAAGGGTCCAAGCTGCACCGATCTCTAAAGCCAACCCGCTTCCTTGTGCATGTGCCCCAAAAGCCTAGCCGACGGGCCCTTGGTCGGTGTCTCTCGGCAGCTACCCTCGTCATGTCCTGTGAGTTACTGTGTCCACACAGTTGCCTCTCTCTCTCCCTTTGCTCGGGAGGCGATCTCTGTACTTTGGGGAGGGGGCATCTAGGGTTTTGGGCCCTGAGCGTGTGGGTGGAGCAGACCGGATAAAGATAGCCTTGGGGGTGACGAGACGAGATGAGATCCCTGATTAGAGTTTCCTTAGCCATGGTCAATACTGCATTCCTGTGCTTCCATTCGACTTCGAGGACTGTCCAATCGAGCAACGTCGACGAAATTAGTCGTCCGGGGTATAGTTATTAGCACCACAGCAGATGCTGATCGGATCAAATCCCGAGTCATTGACTTATTGATCGAATTGACGTGGCGATTGTCGATTGGATAGTCTGTGGACCGGCTGCAAAAGAGGAAGGCCGAATCCACCCGAGATTGGGCTTCGAGCGAATGACTTATCCATCCGATGTTGTCTGCCAATGGGCTATGATGAGAATCGGGCCGCACGGCCCAATTAGGCCCAATACAATTTGAATGGTTTGTTAGGAATCAAAATCCAGCTACGATATTTTATTTCTCTAAAAAAAAGTGACCGTACGCGTGTCCTGGTCATGCAACAACGGCGCCGTTGCACGTGTCAGGACCTCGCTGTCGCACGTAACGCAACAGACGCATGAAGCATAAAACGGTTTCGGAAGCGTCCAACCCGCCATAACGAAACGGCGATAGCGTTTTCCGGGAAAAGGCGATAAAAGGGAGCTGTAGATGCCACGACGGATGACAGAGAGAGGGAGTCGCCGAACGCGTCCCCGTTACGACGCGACCGGAGCGTTACGGGTTGCCGCCGCGCCCCACACATGCCTCTGAGCGTACCTCCAAATTAAAGCTGCCCGTAGCGGCCGTCCTCTGCCCATCATTTCCCTGCACCGAAGATTTCCAGCCATGGCTGTGCGCCCCTTCAAAAGATCCTGAAGGCTGTCAAAGGAGCAAAAGGAGAGGAGAATATTAATACCTTTGTGGTGGGCTGTAACACTGAAAAGGATTGGAGGAGAAAGAGAGAGAGAGAGAGAGCGAGGAACAAAAAAAGATGTGGGAAATGGGACGGGTGGGTGGGTCGGTGAAGGGGAGAAGGGAAGCAGTTCGCTCTGCTGTCTCCCTGCCCACCTGCAACTGCTCCAGTAGAGGCCAAATGTGGTGGCTGCCATCATGCGCCTAGCCACGGCAGGGGATGACTGATGAGTGCCTACCTAAATTGACATGATATAAGATGAATCACAGCAATGGCTTCTGAGCTCTGTTAGTTCCTCATGTGATGGTGCTCAGCATCATGGTGTGCAAAGCTTGGTCATTAGTTTCCTTAACCTCTCTCTCTCTCTCTCTCTCTCTCTGAGCTAAGAGAAAGCTAAATATGGCAATTCCATTGAAGTACTCTGCATTTCCACAGCTAAGAGAAAGCTAAGTATGGCAATTCCATTGAAGTACTCTCTTACTGATACTCTGCATTTGACCCAATATAATGATGTGATTGAAGCAGTCCAATATGTTGCATTTGAGCCCTTTTTTATGCAGCAAGTAGAGGAAGGCAAGTGGTGGGGAGTTTGATTAGTGTTCAACTGGATTATGTTGGCAAGGCAATTGGAATATATTAGGCTAATATGGGCCTACCAACATCAGAGCTTGTTTACTTATGTTGCAGCACAAGGAGCTGAATGTTTACAGGTAGAAAACAAGAAAGCTGAATGATAATGCTGATTGATTAATGCAGCTCCAGATAAATGTTTGATCAAATCAGCAGTTTTAGCAGCTTTATGGCCTTATACAAACATTAAGCTTCATACTTTGCATGAACTCTATGGGCAGTAGTAGTGATGTCAATGGCCATGAGAGAGAGTCACAATGTTATCATGATTCTGAAAGCAAATATATGTGTGATGAACATGAAGAAAGAAAGGTTGTGATGAGGCACACTAGAGGACAAGAGTGAGAAAAGGAATACATACCCCTGTAAATAAAGTGGTAACATAAAAATGAGATGGCCAACTAGCAATTGTACTACTGCCTCTACTGATGTGTTTCAATTTCTTTTCCTTTACCTTTATGTTTCTGTCCTCTGTCTTTTCTTTTCTTTTCTTTCTGGGGTTGATAAAACAGGGAGGGAGCTAATGGACAAGAGAGTTCTGGTGCTTTTGCCCAGGCTTGGAGGGACAGAGAGCAGCTCCAATATAAAGGAGAATGGTAAGGGACTCGGACTCCCAACCCACACGAGTGGTTCCCTTTTGAACACTGTGCTTTGCGACCCCCGGTGCTCACAGCCCGAGTGCTATCAGTCTGAGACTAAGGGAAAGCATAGAGAGAGAGAGAGAGTGAGAGAGTCATGTTGTTCTCTTGTACCAAAGGCTAGTTATCTGTCCCTTTCTTTGCCAATCTTTTAAGTTCATTTCTTAGATGAGTGTTTGCAGTTATCCATCCTGTTCTAAAGGCTTTGATCCCCTCACACTTCCCTTGAGTATTGGTATTAGCTCATTACACTCTTTTTTGCTTTGTCTTTCAATTTGTTGTAGCTCTCATTCAGTCATCTTTGACCTTCATAGGTGACATGGGGTTGTTTACACCACCACCACCACCACCACCTTCATTTCTGGGGAACATGAGCTCTTCCTCAGGAGAGAGGGAATGCATGAGTGGTGAACAAGCTTTGGGGTTTCAGTGTCTGGCAGGGGTGAAAGAGCATTATGAGGAAGATGAAGGTGGTGATGATACTACACATGAGAGTGGCCAGCAGCAGAAGCTCTGTGTTAGGGGTCATTGGAGGCCAGCTGAGGATGCCAGGCTCAAGGAGCTTGTCTCCCAATATGGCCCCCAAAACTGGAACCTGATTGCTGAGAAACTAGATGGAAGATCAGGTTCTCATCCACCCTCATACACAAATATGAACAAAGACTAGGCATTTTGTTTTCCTTGTTTGTCCTGGAAAGAACTTTTGGTTATCTACTTGCATGCATCAACAGGGAGAAAATGTTGTCTACTTTTGCTGATGTATGTGCAGTTCCTCTGCCTTATCTTGTTTCTGGGTTTTAACATTTGTGGACAGGGAAGAGCTGCAGGCTGAGGTGGTTCAACCAGTTGGACCCAAGGATCAACAGGAGCGCCTTCAGCGAGGAAGAAGAGGAGAGGCTTTTGGCTGCCCATAGGCTTTATGGCAACAAATGGGCACTGATTGCCAGGCTCTTCCCTGGTAGGACAGACAATGCAGTCAAGAATCATTGGCATGTGATCATGGCCAGGAAGCACAGGGAGCAGTCCAACGCTTATAGGAGGAGGAAGGCCTCCACTCTTCCCTCCCTCCATCCTCCCTCAACTCAGGCCCTCCCTAGGAGGATGGAGGTGATCGCCAGCATCAATGCTTGCAGTGGTGAGTCCACCATCACCAGCATCAGAGACGAGTCTGCTTCCACCTGCACAGACCTCTCCCTCAATTCCTTCACCAGCAGAGCTTTGCCTCACCTCCTCAACATATCCACCAGCCCAACCCGACGGCTACATCCCTATGCCATCTACAATGGTATTCCTTGTCGAAAGCTGTCTTCTTACATTGCCTACGAGACCAAGTGTTTGGTAGATCTCTTATCTCTTGCTTGCTTTACGTGCAGGTTTACATGAGAGTGTACTTCCAGCAAAGAATGGATGCTACGGGAAACTTAGTGTTGCCCCCATGGAGTTGCTTCCCGGAGTTGATCAGGCCGATTACCCTTATTCCACTTCTGAGGCTTCAGCAAGTGACACAGTGGCCTTCCACATGAGCAATGCTTGGCCCCATGGAGGAACTGCTCATGGAAGGGAGAAGATAAGGATACCCTTCATTGACTTCCTAGGTGTCGGTGCAACGTAGGAAGAGGGTAACAGTAAAGTTACATAGAACCACAAAATGTGAGAGAGGGGAAGTTTTGTGAAGCTATTGCTGTTGAGACCTTGAAGAACCCTTCATCATATGACCTTTGCCATAGTCCCTAGTATGATCATCATATGTTCTTAGTATAGAACAGTATATATTCTCAGTTGCGAAAAGTAGTGAAAGTCATGGTTTAGAACTCCATGAAACCTGCAAATGTGTTCTCATATGTGATGCAGAAAGAATCTTATGATTGCTTTAATATTTGCTGCTCCAATCAAGCTCAAACCAAGTTGTTCCTTGTTTTCCTGGTCAACTGTTGCCAGGTTTGTCTTTCTTTATGCTTTAAGTCCAATTCAGTTCCCTTTCTCTGTGAGAGGCTCTTTTGGAAGCTTTCTCCCATTGATGTGAGACATGATGACAATGGGGCACATCATGTGGAAATTCTCAAGCACAGTGTCCTCTTTTGCCTGCTTGGAACAGCCTTCATTCAACTCACAAGCAATGTACCAAATCTTTTGTTGGAGGAAGTCATCTCTGCCTCCTCAAACTTGCTACATAAACAAGAAGTAAAAGCATTGGAGCAGATGAATTATTGCTACCATTTCATGAGAGATTGGACTAGAGACATTAAAATGGAAACTCTATCAAGCATGACAAGTTGAAGCAGGTTACAGCTCCAATCAACTTGTTAGTTCCTAAGCTGTGGACAAAGTTGCCCAGAAGATAGAGAGAGCAGAAGTTTCATTCCCCCAGAAGATTGCTCACAACAGATTTCTATTGGCCATGTCTCCAAACAACATTGCTCCAAGTTGATGAAGAACATACAAGAAGAGAATGGCAATGTCACTCTCTCTTTTCTGCAACATCAGCATGAGACAACTTACTCTTGTGCAGGTGGTGTGGGGGAGAAGTGAAGGCCAAAGTTTTGAAGGCTGTAGCTGGTCATTCTATCATGAATAGCCATGAATGGTGACTGGCAACTGTGACACTCTTTTTCTCCTCTGCAACTCTTGGTTTCCAAAGGTTAAAGAGAGGCCACCCAAAGATTTCCCCAGTGGAACACTGAGTGCCTCCATGGAAAGAGGCCAAGCCAACACTGACTTCTCTTGACATCACTTCACCTAATGTCCTGCACCAGCACAGGCTTTCCTCTCAGGATTAGTAACGGCCCCCCTTCACAGCAACAGCTCCCTGGCTCGTCTGGCTCAGAATGCTATGGTGGGGTCATGATTTCCCCACCCATATATGGCAAGGGAGAAGCCATGGGTGAAAGCAAGTAAAGACCCCTTTGTGTTGTCTTTTTCCCCCAGCTCTGAGGACCATTTTGGTGCTCACAGGTACTACAATCATGGTGAGGAACAGTTCACTCCCAGCAAAGCGTTTAAATCTTTGGGAAAAATAGAGGAGAGGTGAAGAGACTGTTGACAGTGTCTCAGTCTTTGACAGGGTGGTGAAAAGATGCTTCATGCTCAAGCCAATCCACAGCACAGAAAAAAGAGAGAAGGAAAGTAACATGCTGCCAAACTTACATGTAAACCTCTTTGTACTCTCATGGTTTCCTCTGCAAGAACATGTGAGATGTGCATGTAAGAATTGGATCAGCTTGTAGGTTTTGGATAATCTACACAAACAATCAAAGAAAGAAGCCGGATGAGGTGGGCATCATGAAGAGGCTGCAGAGGTTTGAAGGTGCCATCAAACTAAACTGAAGAGACACCATTTAAGGGGGTTGGCAGGTGACAGATGGGACAGCCAAACCAGAACCCATGGGATTCACAACTAAGGCCAAGTATTAATACTGCAGAGATTTGGTGATCCTTTTGAGGTGGATCTGATGTCAATTATGGAATCAGAGGGGAGGAGAAGGAACAAGGAGCCACTGACTTGTGGCACGTGGGAAGACTGCAAGCAGTTGGCTGGGCAAAGCCTAACCCACTGCAGAATTCTGAGTCATCCTTCTTCTTGGGATGAACTCTAGGCATCACTTTTGCTTGGAAAGCGCGACGCTGGGCCTCATGCTGGTGGTGGTGACTGCCTCATGTCTGAAACCTGTTGGGCTCTCTTGAATCAGCGACTGTAGCAGCTGAGATCAGTCTCACAACAACAGGATGAGACTCACTGCTGCATGGTTCGTTCTAATGTAAAGCTTCAGACATGAACACTTCTTCTTCTTTGCTTCTCAAAGGAAAAAACTCACTCGAATTTAGTAGATTGATCACTCAAAATCAATACACTTCCTCCACATTTCAACTTCTTAGAAAGGAAATGGCTATCCACCATTCTTCAAGTCATTCATCATCATCCACATGACAGTAAATTTGGACTTACAAAGAAGATGGCACACTAAAAAAGATGCATATTTACTCAGATGAAAGAATCAAGGAAACATAAACATTGTTAATTGTGTGATGGCTTTTGTGACCATCCAAGTTCCAAAGAAAAGTGTTGGCATTGCTCCCTAACACTTGGTCCCCTGTGTGGTTACCTCAAGAAGCCAAAAGGCCATTGATGACTCCTCCATTGTTCTTTCAGAATGAGCATAGTTATCGAAGACAACAGCCAAGTCTTTCCAACCAAGAAATAAGAGTTCATGGAGCAATGGGCCTTTCCATTACTTCCCACAGTTTCATATTGCATCAATAACTTCCCTCGACCCAGACTCCGTCTGCCGCGCCTATGATCACCATGGATGACATCTCTTTTGTGGTCCTCCATCGCCGGGAGGAAGTCGCCCCTTCGGGATTCATGGCATTAGATCTCTCTTTTGAATCGGATATCACTCTTGCCGGAGTCGAGGAGGAAGGCAACGTCATTTCTGAAGCCGAAGCTGCTCCCCTGTCGCCTGTCCCCGGTCCTTCGTCAGCCTCCCCTGCTCCCCTTACGAGCGACGGAACCGTGCTCAGGCGACGTAGTTCCCGGTTACTACAAAAGAGAAAGCTCGAGGATGCATGTACGCCGGGGAGAACTCGCCTCAGCTCGGCCTCCATTGGGAGGACCGGTGGAGATCGTGGAGTGTGAACTGAAGAACAACAATCCTCTAGGAGAGATATGGCAGAACAACAATGCGCCTTTTCGCACTGCTCTTTGTTGCCTTGTGATGAAACCGAGTTCTAGATTTCGAGGATCGAAGAAGACGAAAACGAAGGTCAACATTTTGACTTTAGGAATTGTATTGGACAAAGTCAAAATTTGAGGAGTTTTATTCGAGAACGACTAAATGTACTCTTCGATCGAACTTTGCAATTAGATCCGACCCGTTCAATGGATCAGACCTGGATCAAGGTTGTCGAATTTCGGGTCGGATCTGATGGATCCGATCGTGAGTTGGATCGGGTTCGGATCAACCACAACTGGACTCCTATATAAGCCCGACCGCCTCGTTTTATCTACCCGTACCCGCTTCCCGTTCATTCTTCCAGGGCTTCTTCTCCTCCCGTTCTCGGCCGCGGCTTCCCACCTTTTCTCCTTCGCAGCTCCAATCGCCTTCGACGCCGATAGTTGGTTCGCCTCTTCCTCCCTCTCCGCTTCTCCTTTTCCTTCTGATTTCGAGATGTATGTGATACCTAATGTCGGGCTCGGTTTGTTGGTGATTTCGTTTCTTCTTTCTTTTCCTCTAAGATCTGCCAGATTCTTTAGCGGCAGTTTGGCAACAAGGATGGAGGCGGAGGTGGTGGGCTCAGAGATGGTGTTGCCGGCGGCTCTGCCCTTCAAGCGGGTGCAGATGTCAGACAAGTATCCGAAGGGACAGTCGAGAGGCCGCCACTGGAAGCACCTCAAGCAGATTCTCCAAGCCGAGAACTACGCCTCCCTACCTGCCCACGAACCCAACTGTTAGATCTTCTCCCTTTTCCTCCTTGTCCACTAAGAGTTTCCTTTTATCTGATGTTATGCCCAATTAGATATTATTGTTGATAACTAGATCGTAGAAAAAAGGAAGGAAAGTCTTCATCGTTGTCCTTTTGTTGATTTACTTGATTGAGTGGGTTTGGTTAGAGCAAATTGCTCTTCCGTAGGCAGTAATTTTAAAAAGTTGGTCTCCTACAGAATGAAAGTCGAGTATATATGTGGAACATCGATCCACGAGACATGCATAATAAGGGTTCTTAGAAACTCAATATCTTATTTGCGAGATACAGAAAAGAAGGTATGGAAAAATGAAAAAGAAGGTTTGAAAGCTAGGGAGAAGAAATGGGGAAATATGGGCGACTTGAATTTATATGGGAGACTTCTAAATGGAAATATATGCGATAGCGCTTCGCTGTAGCCAAGCTTACTGCTAGCCTATCGGCTAGAGCCAAGCTTCGACCACAGTTACTTGCTGCTTCTGGTCGCCTTATTTTGTCACCTGAGATCCAAGTCAGCTCCGGCAAAGATCTATCGATTCTTTGTGGCCGGGCCAGGCCGGCTTGGAAGCAAGCTACATGTCGCCTATCTCACGCCGCGCTTTGAAGGGTGAGCCTTCGCTTTTTTGATCGTCTTCTGCCCAATGCGGTACCCTCCTGTTTTTTGGTTCCCATTCCATCGGGTTTACCTTGTTCACAGGTTGACCCCATATGGCAGCAAGAAAAGGCAATCTTGTGGTATACTCTGGTGAAGATTTCATTGGGAAGAAAAAAAAAAAGACTTTTGAGACTTTCTTCAGATTGTGGACAGTTCTTTATTTAAAAATTTTGAGAATTTTAAATGCCTCATGTAGAATTGAAAATGGGGATGCTTAGTTTTAAATCTGTGCATTCAGATACCTCTAACATTCTTTTTTTTTTTTTTACGTAACAATGCTTTTTTCAACATTAACAATCATTTTCTCATTCCAGATCTAAATATCGAGTCACCTCCATCCTTGTATCCATCAAAGAAATATTGTGACATGACAGGCTTTGAGGTAAATGCTTTTTTTATATACTTCCAGAAAAAATAGTTCTTTTAGTCATCCATCTGCCTACTTGCCTATGGATTTCCTTTGTTAGGTACTGAATTTTCTGAACCATGAAATTCTGGCCTTCTAAATGCTAAAAAATTTTGTTCATGCACTCACTGGATTACATATATGTCTTTCGTGGTTACCAGTAAAGCTAATGATTTAACTAGTGTGTTAATGCTGTAGATTATTGTGTCTTAACTACCTCTGCAATTTTACACATGCTAATTACTGGATTTGCAATGACAGAATTCTTGTGAACACACCCAAAAGCAATTTTCTAGCACTCTGATCTATTTTACATACATTTAAATGCACTTTTCTATACCAGAACAGACTTTATCACAATACATATGATTTGGGATGATTTTCTTTTTTTTCTTCCTTTCCTTGTATATATACGCATTACATTATCAATGTGCCGTGATATACAGACTATATCAAACCTACCAATTGTATTTCTTGGTTAAGAAGATAAAAAAACCCAAGACAAGAAAACCATATACAGTGTATATAGAAAATTGGTAAAAAGTTATAGCATATAGTCTCTCTGTATGTAGAATTGCTGAATTATAGTGGATGATATAGGTTTTTATATCTGGTCTATATCAGATTATTTTTCACCCTCAATGTGAATGTATTTATTGTGCATGAAAATGCAGACGACAATGGCAGCAATAATAAAAAAACCCATAATTTCTTAGCTATCTGAGATGTTCTTTATGCATGTGTTTCCACCATTTAGCTATGCTGAGTGCAATATTACCAATCAAACCAGGAGCAACTTCATAGGCCTTGCTCCACATCGGTCACAATCTATTCACTTCATCTAACTGAGGCATCAAACTCCTAAGGACATGTTCATATTATCAATGGTTTCCTGTCACTTCTCCTTGATTGGAACATCTAAATTGTCCATGAATATACAGATTTCTTGTTCTATCATTTCTAATAACACCGTACATCCATCTCAACATTCTTATTTCTGCAACTCTTAACTTTTGTAAACAAAGGTGTTTCTGGGGCGTAAAAATCAGTTAGTGGTTGCCTTGGTACCATATCTGTTGTCTTATAGACCTATGCATATTGATGTAGATCTTTTTGTTGTGTTAAAATGATAATGGTAAAAATAATTGCTGATCGTCATATATAACTTATAAAGCTGTCTAGAAACATCAGTTAAAGAAACTATCATCATTCTTTACTTGCTGACATAGCTCAATCAGCAAGTGCTGGTTGTGTAACAAAATATTGGCCAGATTGTGGCTGAACCCTTGATCACGTATGATGTCCCTGACAATAATTATAATTGGATGACACTTGATATGGGTCTCTTCTAAGGCTTTTCGAGTAAGTATAAATCTTCATTGTGTATATTGAAAAAATACAAAACTGGACTTCACCTCTAGGTAATCCCTGAAATCCTTGTGGTTTGGCTTTTTGAGCTGGTCCTCGAGTTGTGGGGTGAGTTGTTTTCCCCATTACTTTTTTTTGTCCTCTTTCTCTTGAAAGTTGGTCCCTTCCTCCACGTATAATTCCTTTTTTTCACTTCATTACTCTCTAAGGTTTTCCCTTTTGCCTCTAATTCTTCTCATCTCATGCATTACTGGTCACATTTCTTCTGTCTCCAATTGTCAGCCTGTATCAATGGCTTTATAACAACTCTCTGCAGAGTATTTTGTTGTGCCAGCTTGCTGCTGCTCGCTCTGCTCTGTTTTCTTTTTGGTCCATGATCACTGGAAGAATGCCTCACAGTCTCCATTTGTCCCTAACTATCAAGGTGATATCCTATGTGGATTTCTATACATTCTTTCCACAATAACCCAAAGAGTTGTTCTAATATCTTCTTGAATTTTACCTCCTCCCATTTGTTCTGTCTGCTGTTGATTCAGCTGGTAAGGTGATGGCTGATACTTGTGGGTTGAGTCCACATAGATCTTGGTTGATTCCTTTAATTATCTTTTTGTTATGTTCATCTCATAGCCTTTTTTTTTTTTTCCTCATCAAGAATTGACTTGCTATCCAGCTTCAAATTTTCATTGAAGCCTTATGGTTTGATTTAGATATACTGTCAGAAAACGGAGAATTAAGTGCTCATCTAAAGATAAATGTTTAAACTCTTCTTTTGGTCGTTTTTTTTTTGTTTATCCATATTGCTTGGGTCTTAAGAGATTTTTCTGTATTGAAAGCTTGTATATCCTCAATTCGATTAAATTCATTTTGGGGACGCGATTTTATCTGTAAGTTATGTTGAAAAAAAAACAGTATTAGTTGAACAAACATAAAAAAGGATTATAATGCTCGGTTATTTTATACTATTTTAGTAATTGGTAAGGATTTTGTGGGTGTAAGAAGTTAGCTGACCAGTCTGATGCTGACCTTGTGGTATTCTTTTCTACTATGCTTAAACTGTATTCAAGATACCATATTTGGCACAAGGAAATAAAGTCCAATTTGCTGCCATGATGATGAATCACTCTCTTTTCTGTTGCTATTAGTATCCCTCAAAGATTCATGTCGCTGATTGGTTTTCCCGTCTCCTGCTGCATTGTTGCATTTTGCTTTTGTTTCGTGTACTACCCACCTCAAGAGTTTGCTAGTCTTGCATGCCGGCCTCGATGTTTCATCAGCGCAGACAACACATTTTTATTTAAATAAGCTTAATTAACATGGCGAAGAAACTGTTCTGGATTTTTGGCTTGCAGGCACCATACACTGATCCAAGGACGAAGCTACGGTATGCAAATCCAGATGTGTTCAAGCGCGTTCGATCACTTCCTAACGAGTATGTCCAACGGTATCTGGCTTTGAGGAATGCTGCGATCATTTTGCGATAGGATCTTGTTCCCTTTGTTGTCTTCCAAGTATATGGCTTTGCCATCGTTTTAGTTAGGATCTCATCGAAGATGAAAGATAGTAAACCAGATGAATGTTGTGGAACTTTTGCTTAGGTATTACAACTCATATTATCTTCATCACTTTTGTAAATATAATCATGTTTTCATGGTTGCATATTTGTCACTTTGGAATTACATACCAAGTGAAATAACAATTTGTATTAGGTGTTCCATGTTCATGAAATTAGGAAGTAACTGCAGATCTATATCGTGCTCGAATTGGACGATTCGAATATCCACTCTTTTCATTCGTTTTGGAATCCAACAAATTTTTTGGGGATATGTTTGAATATGTCGATCGACCCAGTATTAGATGGGATCAAAGCTTCGGAACATTCCTAGATGGGATCCTCGAGAACATTCATTTCAGTTGAACCTTGGTTTGCACTTACTGTCGAGTAAGGAGACTGTCAACAGCTTTCAAAAATCACGTTATATCTTTCGGAGGAGGGAGATAGGGGTTCGAGAAAATGGTTCATGATAGGATAGGATTAAGATTGACTTACAAAGATCTGATAAATATAAATAAGATCAAAGCTCCGTCAGACCCCATCTCAGAAAGGAGTACATGCCATGACAGGTTACATAACAGTCGAAGGGAAATGCCAAAAGATCTCGAGGCACCAGATGATCCTAACCATCAACCTCACACCCACCATTCATAAATGGCTGTCTTCTTTGGTTGTTTTCTTTGGTGTCTAAACACCACTATTCTTCTTCATCGTCATCTCTCTCTGGATGAGAAAATGTTAGCACTCCAAGGGGGAATGTTTCTACACTAACCGACCATGCATGAATGTTTGCTTTCATTGGTCTCTAAACACCAGTATTCATCGCCATCAAGTCTCTATCGATAGAAGAGAGCACACCACTGCACGTAGTCTCGAATGAGCTCACCATAAACAAATATCTGACTCGTTAAGCTTCATGTGTGATTGTTTGCAGTGGGTAGAACATGTCCTTGCACTGCTGACAGTTGCAGGGTGAAAATGCCACGCAGACCCAACTCTGCCACCAGTTTCGTATCCATTTGTCTCTTCCTGTTTACTACACTGCATTTTCTTTCTAATATTCCAATTGTCACTACTAATTAATGTCCCAAATGCCACATTATTCAAATCATGATATATACATATATGTATATACATATACATAGCTACACTTTGTATCATCACTAACCTAATACCCACTTGATTGACCTTCTAGTCCGATATTCCCGCTAAGTGGTTAACACGTCGTAGTCAACATGTCGATGCATCTATAACGAACGATAATTCGAACTATTTGACATCCAATAATCTTAAAAAAAAATAATCTTTTTACCATCGACGATATCAAAGCTCTTAGGTATGCAATATCACTCGGAGCTCTTTAATTCCTCAAAATCTTACTTTGTTATTTCTTCAAAGAGAGCCCACTCGTCTTCCAATATCACTTATTTTCATCAAACATATCATAACTTTATTTTCCAATATCACTTAGAGAGCTCGAAAATTCCGAGTTGAAACTAAAAGTAAAATTAATTTCATAATTCAGTATGTCAAACGGTCAAAATACATCTTATCTTACCAATAATAATCGATAATTATCAAACAAAGCCTCTCGATCTAAAATTAATGAATCGAATACATCATTGTCCCAAATAATATTTACATGTAAAATTATATTATCGGATGAGACGATATAATTATTTACGTGGCCAAGAAATATGCACCAACTCAGGCCACAACCTGTCGCTATCTTTTTGCCACGTGGCATCCTTATAGCCACGAATTTGATCTACCTTCCTAGTCCTGACCCCACCACTAATCCTCCATCTTATTATCCCATAAAAGTGGAACATTGAATTCGCCCGTATGTATGTACTCCAGACTCCGTCTCACGCGATCATATATGGGTTCGCGTCGAGCAACACCTGTCTGTAAATGATTGGAGGCAACAAGGCGCCTGTCCAATGGAGATACAGGTATGCCGATGGGTGCAGGACGCTGGGATTGAAAACTCTTGGTTTGCGCGTGACTCTGACATTGCCGGCACCACCGAGACTATAAATGGGCAACCCTCGATCTCGACGTCTCCCGCCACCACCGGTCTCGCCTCGTCTTCTCGAGCGACGAGGCCACTCACCGGCTGCTGGCGATCGGCGAGCGACTCCCGGAGGCGATGGCGAAAGTACACCCCAGCGCCGCAGCCGCAGCAGCAGCAGCAGCAGCGTGTACCGGGGGCGGGGGGGTGAGGCCCGCCGCGGTGCTGACCGTGTGGCGGAGGTCGCTCCTCTTCAACGGGAACGGGTTCGCGGTGTTCGATGCGAAGGGGAACTTGGTGTTCCGGGTCGACAACTACGCCTCGGGTAGCAAGGCGGAGGTCCTCCTCATGGACGCCGCCGGCAAACCGCTCCTTACCATTCGGAGAAAGGTATTCCTCAAACATGGATTTTCCCAATTGCACAGTGTATTACTTTACTCACTCTTTTCCTTTTCCGAAGGGATCGACTCAAATATTTGAAATCGAAGACCAAAAATGAAAGGCAAAAATTATGAATTCTCTTGTCAATCGGTCATATCTGCATCGATTGCCCTAATGTTGAAAGAATCTAATGCTTCATCAAAATTTCACTGATTGAATGCTGTTCATCTCATCAAAGTTGTTCTAAATCAGGATTAAAAGGCTTTTGTGCCTGAGTCGATCAGATACCTACTGTTGTGATGCAGAAACTGAGCCTAAAAGACCAGTGGCTGATCTACGAGGGAGAGGAGGCAGCTAATCCACGGTTCGCGGCCAAGAGGCATGTGAGCCTCCTCCACCACGGGGCACTGGCACATGTCACTCCATGTGTCTCAGGAGCCAAGCCTTGCCATGCCTACGAGATCCAAGGCTCCTACTTGCAGCGGTGCTGTGCCGTCGTCGATGATAAGAGGCGGCAATTGATGGAGATCAAGAGGAAGGAGCCTGCCAAAGGCATCACCTTTGGCCTCGACGTCTTCCGCCTGATCGTGCAGCCAGGCTTTGACACCTCATTCGCAATGGCTATTGTGATGCTTCTGGAGCAGATGTTTGGATCCCCATCATAACTTTGATCCTTCAAACTAGTGTTCGATATGTTTGCAAGTGTGAACGAAGGAGGCGAAGGGCTAAAGATTAATGATGCTTCCATTGGATGGATGATGCTATGGGACACAAGTGTTTCGAAATTTTGATGCCTAAACATAATAATAGAAAGCTTGTTTGGGGATTTATTTCTAGGTCGGTTGTTGTCAGCTAGATTCCAATTTGTTCCATAATAATAATAATTGAGGAAGCTAATTATAATGACTACAGACCAGGTAATTTCTGCTGTAAAAGGAAGCAGATATAGTCATTGAATGTGATTCAAGAGGGAGGTTGTCTCTAGAATACAAACAATGTCACTCAAGACCATCTTATTGTATGAGTTTGATACTTGTGAAGTCCCCTAAATATACTTGGGAAGCAATACAGGCTGCTAATTAGGTCTGAAATTGGTATGTCCCAGAGTCTACTCCTAAGGAACTTAGTTCTACTTTCTACTCTAATATATCTGGGGCTCATTGTGTGGCATATGATTTTTGTTAACTACAGGCAGGCTATTTGAGATTCATTGTGGGGCACGGTTCATTGCTGTCATTCATAAAGCAAATAATGTTGATGCATAAATTTTCCATCATGTTGTGCTATTAGATTTCATGCATTTCAGAAAAAGCAGTTCCTTTTGGTGCCAAATAATTCTTCATGCTACATCTGCTGGGCATACTGTTACTTGGGTTTCTACTTCCACACAAAAATTATGTGCATGCCCAATCTTGCTATAGAATGTAAGAAAAATTGATGACGGCAAAAATGTGAGTCAGATGCATAATCAAGTTATCTAGATACAGAATAGCAATAGATTGAACTGCTGCTATATATGCTTCGGAACAGTATAAATCTGCTAGCAGGATCACTGTGGTCATCCATTTATCAAAACTGGTAATCTACTGTGTCTGTCTATGGTGTAATTTAGATGTCCAGTGAAAGACTAGCAATGAAACATATGAGATAAAAGAGAAATTTCTGTCTCAGTGCTGCTTTTTATTAGCAAAAGTACCATATGGAATTTTCTGAAGAACCTTTGCATCCAGCACTGCATACTGTTTGTTGATTGCATGGATTGCCTTCTCAGCAGCAGTGTCAACATGATCCTCATAGTTCTCATAGAATACTGGTCCGGTGTACAGAATCAAAAAACCTGCAACAGAAAACATAATCCGAGGCTCTAAATGACAAGTCTATATGTATCTCGTCTCTGCTCAATCACAACATCCATGTATTGGAAAAGAATTAAAAAAAAGATGCATCTATGAGAGATCAAAGCATCTATGAGAGATACTTTGATCGTATAATACTTTGATTATGCTCCTTTAAATCAGAACATCATGATTTAAGATAAATTAAATATATTCTGTACAAACATTTGATTACGCAACTACTGTGGTGTGGTGTATCGGCTGACAAACACTCCAGAGCTAAAGGACCAATAAAGGGTGCATAATGTACTCTATGTTTGTTTAATCTACCTATTAATGTTTCATTATAACTTAGCTAGTGTCTTGAGAACAAATAATTTTACTCGACGTATAGTACTAAATTTGGATTTAGTCACCTCCTAAAGGAGTCTCAGATATGCAAACGGCTGCATCCATCTCTTGCAGAACCCTCCTTTCCCTCTAGTATATGAGTCTACTCTGGAAGAAGTTTCCATATGTTGTTTTGTTGAGAAATGAAATGAACAAAGCCAGTCTCTTCTCATAATTTTGTTACTTCATTCTATATTTCATCTATTCATTTCTTCTTTTTCTGGTGGAATCTACCCAGGTCGAGACCTGGGTAGATCAGATCTATTCTGCTGTTCTTTTGATTTTGTAAACAAATCCTGAGGTTATTGACAAATTCATACTGAAGAGTATAGGCATTTGGGCTATACTATCAGATGTATATTTAATTATAGGCATTTGGGCTGCACCAATAATCTGGCAGACTTGTATATTTAATCCTAACTATCAGATGTCTCCCTAACTTATAGGAAGCTTATGGCACTGCCAGTGTATATTTTATTATCTCAGAAGAAAAAAAATTCCTAAGTAATAAGCATCTCAAGTGTGACCTGAGATAACATATAAACGCTTACAATCAAACTATCACATTTGAAGAACCCTGCCTCCCATTAATACATAATAATGAGGCAGTACACCATTACATATCAATAATATAAAGAAGTGGAAACCCATTTATTCTCAAGTTGATGGATCAAAGTTGAATCGTCATTTAATAAAAAAAAGATGGAAGCAAGAGATGAAAAAAATTAAGTCACCTATGTAAAAGAGTGTCAAGAAACTGAACCAGCTGCCAATTACAGAAAGAATCCACAAGCCTGCAATTACCTGCATATTCGACTTACTTGTTAACATCTTGAGCATAGAATGCATCAGGAAAAAAAAAAGACAAACGAAAAGGAGGCATTAAAATCCTACCGTCAAAAACCTCTTCAGATCCTTTCCACAAGCAACATAGTAGAAAGTTGCCAAAGCCTCATTAATTTCATATCTTACTGATTGAGCTATAGTTATAAATAAGTCCTCAGGCAAGACAACCTCAGGAAATTTGGGCGGGGACCTGGATATGATGAATTAGTTACGTAATCCAGAATTTAAAAAATTGCAGAATGTAAAGCAGTCACATTAATGATGGGCTAACCAATGAAAATTAACAAATATAAGCCTTATCATATAGTTATAAGCTTTTTTTTTTTCTTGAACGTAGGAAGTATAAAACTCAAAAAATTCAAAAATATGTATCTCATATATACAAAAACTCATGCTAATGTAACTGCTGAGAATTCAGAGTGGCATTAGAGCGACTAGATTCAAGGTTAGTGTTAATGAATATCTCATGCCATAATGCAGCTAATTGTCAAATTACGTGTCCACATAGACTCATCTGCATAAGAGACTATGCATGAGCAAATCAACTCGGGTGGCAAAAACATGTATGTATAACACTCACTGTAAAAGCCAATGTATAACGAGTTTTCAGCAAAACCATTCTGTTACCTGTTGACAAATGATGCACCGTTGGACCAGAGGAAAGACACTGCTAGTACAAGTATAAGAAAGTGGCAGATAAATGTCAGCAAATGATAGCCCATCCATACAAAGAGAAGCCAGATAACAGTGACTCCAGTAAGTATGCTTCCAGACAGTTGTTTATTTCTCCACAGTATGATATCAGCAGCTAAAATCACAAGAAACTTATTAAATAGTGTTCTATGTGTTTTCTGCTAACCCAATTATAAAGGAAAATGAGAGATCCTAAAAGATGGTAAAAGCAGGAGTATTGATGATATCTATTGAACTTACAACAACATTGTTCAGCATAATAAAGTTGCTTGTGTTGTTGCAAAAGTTTCAATATGTAAGAATATTAGTGTAATTCAGTGATTTATATAAAATTCAAAGAGCTGTAAAATTACTACATAATAAAGAAAAAGTTACCAGTGATTTATGCATGATAAAATCAAGAAAAAGAAGACATTTTTGTTATGCCCTTTATTTTTTTTTCTTTATGTAACACTACCAATTTTGAACCATTAAAATAAATTAAAGACCAAAGTACAGAAAGTAAAAACTAATAGCAAAAGTGAGTAGCCCAAGAGGGATTATTAGGTCTGACAAAAGATTAAAGGATACAAATAAAATACCAAGTACAAAATAATATTTCAAAGAAGAAGAGCTTCCTAAAGTTCTATTCAACTAGGCATTAGGTAGATATGATTCTTTTTTCAAATATCATAATTATATAAACCAAAATATCTTTGTAAATGATTCAATAAGAAATAAGAATATGACATGAAGTTAATAATGCAATGCTCATATGAGCTAATACAAGACAGGATGCTGGCCAGGTATGACAAATACAACACTAAAAGAAGCCCTTTCAGATGGCTGTATAAAGGCCAGTCTACCATTGGCTTCTCTAAATGCTGTAGAATAAACTAGATTGCTAATTCCAGATTGATCCTTTAGATCCATGAAACAGTAAATAAAAAAAATTGAAGTCTCGAAGCTCCAAAATTTATGTCTCCCTTCTGACTATATTGCTGCTAATAAACACTTCAATCCATTTGTTCACAATCCTTCAGTCCATCCTTCTCATTTTAATAAAACTTTTTTCTTTGTGAGGGAAACCCTTCTTTTCTATTGTGCTAAGATCTCATCCTCCAGTTATCCGGCAAGAACAGAAAAAATGTTGAACATGATGATTTAGAGTGAGTCTCTTTCCATAAAAGAAAGCAATAGAAACATCAGAATATAGGATAAGTGTGAGAGCGAACAAAAAATGAAAACAGAGGATGAACGGAAGGGACTCCTAAACCCTTTTAAGATAGTCGATCCAAATAACAACCAGTCTCCGACAGTTGAGATTAATGCAAGATCAAGATAAACTCCGAATAATCTAATTGTGTTCTAAACTTAGGCACCAAAATTATGATGATGATTTCTAAGAAGAACCAGAAAAGCAAGGGATAAAGGGCATCAAACATATTGCAACTCATGATTCAAACCTAAAATGATCTACGTCATTCTTCTCTCATTGCTTCCAACACCTGGCATCAAATCCGCGTCTGCTAACAATCAATTGGAAAATGTCAAAGCCACATTAGACGTATTCAAGAGTAAACACAATTACACAAGAATGTAGCAATTCCAGATCACATCATCTATTCGCAAGTAGAATAATGAAAACACATATAATATCATACCCAACAAAGCAAAATTGATGAATGGGATAACCAGCAAATTCGATGAAAACATACATTTTCCTCCTCCAAGGACGGTATGCACAGTATCCTTCCTTCCAAACAGTCGTTTCTTCCTTGAGTTCTGAAACGAGGGCTTCTCATCATCTGAATCTGACGACGACGAAGACCCTTGGTACTCGTGAATCTTCTCGTTGATCTTCTTCAAATCACCAACTTCTGACATCGTCACCTGAATCATTCAACCCAAACACCGATCCATAACCATCAAATCAGATCCACAGCCGACCATAAAAGTTCATCAAGACTAAAACACGAACGGATTCCAACAACATCGCTCCATCGTGCAACAAAATATTCATCAAGAAGAAAATTCTTATAACATCATCTTACGTAAAGAAGCAGAAAATTGATCTCAGAACCAAAAATATTTCGATTTCTCAAAGAAAAGAAATTAGAAACGAGAATAGAACGATCTACGAACGAATAGAAACTTTTGCTTGCCTTTCTTCTTCTCCCGTTCGTTTCCTCGTTTCTCTCGCTCGAACAGAAACGGAAAGCACCGGCAAACGGAGAGGAGACAAGGCCTAAATATATAGGTCTCAGTCAGGGGAATCGGACGGCTAGCGGAGTTTCTACGCGCAGCTATCGGACGGCCAGTAGAGATTCACCGTTTCGGAGCCACGACGAGGAGATGACGCCGTCTGACTTATTTGGTGTCTACGTGGATTTAACCGCGCGGTTTGAGGAACGGCAGGGAAGCGGGTTCGAAATTAAATGAGCGAGTGAAATTACCGAAACACCCATAGAGCGAACGAGTTCCCGAAGGATGATCGAATAATAGAACGGTGATTTAAGCGACTCGCGTTCCAAATCGATCTACCGTGCATAAAAGCGGATCACAAGTATTTGGCGCATCGGTTCGTATATGGTTAATTCCCAGTTACTGGATGTCTCCGCAGCACGTAGCCGTAATCGCCAAGTTAATCTAACATCAATCATCTAATCAATGAAGAAAAGTTTTGTCATCATCCATCATAGATAGAATCAGTACCTGTTTATAATTATATACTCTATGTGCGACGGTACAAGAACTATGAGCTTAAGATACGAGGCACATTGAGTGTGGGAAATAGGAGCAACTTCAACAACCAGACATCATCGTCTCTACAAATCTGTAGAGAGATGCTGTAAAGAAAACATATCCAGAAAGGAGGTTCTCATGAACACAAACAATTAAGAAAAAGGAATGAATCACGTTGAATTGTAAGATAAAGGTGTCATAACATGACTGAGAATTGACATCCAAAACTAACGAGCTGCAAAATTAGACAGGCAATGATATAGTTCTTAAAACAGAAAGAAGCTAAATTTGCTGCAAAACCAAACAGAAAATGATATATAGTCCTCCTTTCGAACAGAAAGCTATTGAATCATCATCATCCACCAGTGACCAATTCTAAGAAGATTCTGCCATGGGGGCTGGCAAGAAAGCCCTTCCAGGCCGGCGATTAGCCACTGGACCATGGCACCCAAGCAACTGCACAACGAAAGATATCAGACTATTATTGATGGACAACAGAGTGTGAATGTTTCTTCTCTACCATTGTCGAACCTCGACATAGAAGGATAATGCTAAAATGACTTATTAATGCAGAAGGGTAAGCACTAACATGCTGATTCCTTTTAATGACAATTTCCTTGGTAAAAACACATCAGGAGAGGGAAAAAAAAAGTTGGAGTATCAAAGATTGGTTTGACGATACCAAAACCCCAAAAACATACACATGGTCAAAAATCACTGACCTGAGGGTGAAGACTTTCCTTTTTCTATATACAAACATATATAAATAAGAAAAGCAAATATAGTTTACCACATGGATTCACTACCACAGATGACACAAATAGTTAACACTAGCATATTTAAGGTGCTCAAAAGTTGTGACAGAGGATAACAAGTTGACATCACGGTACTTCCTAGATCCATGACTTCAATTCACTACCAGAAATAGCATGGAGTAGGTGGTACTAGTAAATTTAAGGTACTCAAATGTTGTGACAGGATAAAAGTTCACGTTGATGTACTTCATCCATATACAAATGTCTGACTAAAATGGAAAAGCAATCATGGTTATATGAATAGCATGGATTAGCACCCTACCCAATGTAAATTGGGTGTACCATCCTTGCCATTCTCCCTCCCCCCATTAGCCCTTATAAGATGCTAAGAAAAAAAAATTTGCTAAAAAGGCCTGTGAGTGTCAAATGGTTTCGTCCACCCAATCTATTCATCTATACACTAGTGAGGTACATGCACCAGATAAGTAACATATTATGGTTTGCATAGTGAGACTCAAATAAAATGAAACAGACATCGTATAAAGGTCACGCACATACCTTTGCATTTACACCATCTGGGATGATTCTGTTCTCACTCTTCCACTTCAAATAGTCAGCCCGGCTAAACTTAGTGAAGCCCCTGAAAATTAATTTGAGTAAGAACCTATTTAAGCAAATAGGAGACAAATATCAAATGATCACATGATAGCCCAAATATTATGCTCTTTAGCATCAGTTAACCAAGAGGTATAAGACTAATTTCTTATTAGAGAAACAAAATGAATACTGAATTGTAAGATTGAATGCATTAACAAGTTGACTCTAGTAGTGTTGTTTTCTAATGCTCACCACTTTCCACTGATGATTATCTTTTGACGGCCAGGAAACTTGAACTTGGCACGACGTAGGGCTTCTTGAGCATTGTTGCTATTACTATCCTTGCAGCGAACAGAGAGAAGGACCTGACCAATGCTCACCCTAGCACATGTCCCTTGAGGCTTCCCAAAGGCCCCACGCATTCCAGTCTGGAGCCTATCAGCTCCAGCACAAGAAAGCATCTTGTTGATACGTAAGACATGGAACGGGTGCACTCTCACCCGTAGGTGGAAAGCATCCTTTCCAGCAAACTTTGTCATGTACTTGTTGCATGCAATACGAGCGGCCTCGAGAGCCTCACTAGAAACATTCTCCTTTTCCCAACTCACCAGGTGAACACAGAAGGGAAACTCATCCACTCCTTTCTTCTTCATTCCAACATCATAGATCCTAATCTTAGGATCTGGAACACCACGGCAGTACCGTGATTTGGGGTATGGCTTGTTTTTAATCTGGCGGTAACATCTCGCAGGTCCTGCATAAGGAATAGTCAAATCAAATTCTCATCCAAACCCTACCAACAAAGTTGAAAAAATTCATCAATGATTACATATCGCTCCGAGGAAAATTTAGAAAAGGATCAAAAATATGATCATGAGATGCCAAAGTCTATGATCTCAAGATTCTTTTATCCAGATACAAAGTCTACTGGATTCTTCATTTTTAATATATATAGACTTACAACGTGCAAAAATTCCAATAACTAGGATGACAATCTCTAACTGAGAAGAAATTCTAATTTTGGATAAAACATATAGTATTACATCTAAAAAGCTAACCAAATGAGGCTTATCATAGGCATAATTCTGTTAACCACAGCTCAATACTATTTAAATGAGAGGTTGACTTCCAGGAGCCTCAGCTCCCCTCTTTAAACCTCTCGTTATGAGTAGACCCTCCACCCATAACAAGTATAAAAATAAACACAGATGGGTATGCAATACCAAGTATGAGCTTGAAGGAGAGTGTTTGACTAACTGATACTGGTTAACATTTGTTTACAAGTGCAATTCCATCTTCACTATTTCACCTCTTCTTGTTAAGGCCTCGGTTTTTAGGCTAAAGAAGGATGCAGCCATCAGGACACAAATATGCAAGTTGAGAACGATGTATCAGTCCTCGACAACATTATGAACAAGCAAGAAACTTACTGCAGAGGAAAATCCTTCTGTATTTCAATTGCAATAACTTGTAAATTTCAAGAAACCTCTATTACACGTTTAAATAAATGAATGCAGTTGTTGATTGTTTACTTAATTATGAAAGGAGATGCGATCAGCCTTTTCTCATTTTTGGGAACCTGCTTTACTGAGATTCTTCTTTCTCTAACAGGGACTTCGCAAGCCCATTTGTTAAAAGAATGGACAATTAGCCTACGGACACCTTTCTGTACCATCGAAAAAAGAAGCTACTCTACAAGTCATTGCAACACACATAGCAAGGTGCTTATAAAGTATTCCAAACCTAAGTTCGAAAATGATAAATGTAACTATGGTGATCCAAGTACCCTCATTTCCTTGGCATAATGTGATTCACAAGCATGCGGCTCGTAGAAACAACCCTGACCGCCATACATGCATTTAATCCTCATATGTTCCCTTCAAGTATGGCCCTATTAAAGTCTCCTACATTTCTGCAATGCCCAACACATACCGTCTGCAGTAGATCAATGAGGATCCCAATTGATGAAACACCGGATAGTACATCTCATCGTTTCAACAAGAGAAACTACACCGCTAGTTTCGGCTTATTTTTGTCTTCATAGATCACTCAGAAGCAACAAAATCAAGCATAGATCCGCTCAATTCCACCGCACGCAAACTGAAGAACGCGGAAGAAGCTGGAAGCACCGTCGAATCTCGCTCAAAAAATGGGGAAAAAAACGATTCATGACAAAACAAACCCATTCAACCATCGCATCAAACAAAACTTGGAAATCCTTCTAAACAGCGATAATTGTCACATCGATCGAACTACCACCCAACGACACAGCGAGAAAAGCGAGGCAGAGATCGAGCAACTTACGCCTCCACATCGCTGAAATAAACAAAACCTAGAAATCCTTCTAACCAGCTATAATTACCACATCGATCGAACTACCGTACGAAACATCGAGAAAAGCGAGGCAGAGATCGAGCAACTTACGCCTCCCCATCGCTGAAATGAGGGCAGAGGAAGAGACCCACGCGCAAACCCTAGAGCGACCCCGACGCCCGCCTCCTTTATATTGAGAAAGGAAACCCCAAAGATATGAAACCCATCCAATAATAGGCCGTGGCCCTCCTTGGGCCGGCTCAATTACTTTCTTGGTTGGCTGATGTTGGGACCCATGGACTGCTTCCAATCACAAGGCAGGTAGGCTCGCGGAAATTTGATGGGGTAGGAAAATTATTGCTCTTCTTTTCGATACGCTCTCTCTCCTGTTACCATTACAAGTATTATTACCACAACCATTTCTATTAGTACTCAATTCCACACCCTCTCTTCCTACGCGGAAACCATCATCATCACCATCGTTACTACAATTACTATATCTTCAAGATTATAGCAGTCTTTGTTTCTGCGTTTGTTGCTGAGAGAGACAAAAAAGTAGATGATAAGACTATCTATACAACCTTCATGGTTTTAGGACTCAATAAGTGTGACCTGCAATGCTCAGGTTTCTTCTAACAGGTTCAATGGCTACATCTCTCTCAGAAGTAAAGCATGTCCTCTGCTGAAGCCATGATAGGCTGATTCATATAGTTGAAGTTCCATGGACTGACGATGTTGTCAGTGAACTGAGGACCATCACACAGAAGGTGATTGCTGCCGTTGTTTCCATTCAGGTTGTGGAGTCTGTCATCGAGGGATTGCAGCCTACTGCTCAGCTCCATCATCTGAGCCCTCAGCACAGAATTCTCGGCCTCCACAGCAGCACAGTGCTGTGTAACGAGCTTCAAGATTGCGACGCCATGGCTGTTCTCCTTCCTCAGCTGGTTCGCCTGTGCCACCAGATCATCCAAGTGCTTCTGCCTGCGCAGCCTCGACCGCCGCGCAGACTCGCGGTTCGATATCAGTCGCTTCCGCTTCTTCTCGTCCATCACAGCCTGCAGACCTTCGTCGGAACCAGAGCCGTGGAGCAGACTGGATGCGGAGGAAGTCCCACCGGGAGAAGCCATCAAAACTTGAATTTTGGCCAGAAAAAGGATACCTTTTTAGTTGATTCACAAGATTTAAATGTGGTGCTTCAAGAAATATTGTATTTTGGTGGAGTTGCAGCTGAATCAAGTAGATTGTGCTCAGCTCTCATAACAAAACTCATGGAAGACATAGAACCAGTAAAGAAGGACCACAGAGAAGGATTGTGCAAGGTAGCTCATGCGCTGAAGAGTGGAATTTAGCATGAACTACGAAGGGACGATTTCACTTCGGATAGGCAGCATCAATCAGAAACACCGAGAGATAAAGACGCTGCATGTGAATGGCGGAAAAGGAAGAAGAAGCCTCGGTGCATAAAGCTCAGATCTTGGAACAGAGAGAAGGTAAATAGAGTCCACCAACAGGAAGAAACCAGCCAAAAGCGAGGAATCTTTCCACAAGAAATAGTGGAACTGCAGCAGGAACTTGGTTTTCAGTGCGCAGCTAAGATCAACAGAAGCAGGGGAGGGAGGCAATTAAAGCATAGAGCAGCAGAACCTCAGTAAACCTAAGCAAGAGAGAACAGGAGGAAAGGGAGTTGAAGCTTCGGAGGAGGTGGCATTTATAGACAGGATAGAGCGACACCAACAAAATAATGTGTGTGTGTGTGTGTGTGCGTGTGAGAGAGAGAGAGAGAGAGAGACTTGGGTCAGAAATGGTTTTCCACATTCGAATCCAATTCTAGCTGGTGGATTGAATAGATCCTCTTCCTCAGCCAACCTCTACTTTTTTTCCTAGATCTTTCCAAAGAACTAAAAAGTTGTTCTTGGATCACACCACTGATAGAATCAACTGTAGCTGCCAGCTTGTGCTTTAGCATAGCAATATGAATCAAAATTTGCTTTCACCACAAAATGTCAGCTTATCAGCCCCTGATAAAGAAACATGTAAAAGCTATCTAAAGTAGATCACTAGAAAACACCAACTTTAGGCATTGAAGGATATGCCTTTTTTTTTCTTTTATGGTCACCTCAGACGAGGTAACCATGGCTTTTCTTTTCATTGGTAAATGTCAATGAACTTATGTATTGTAGCCAAGGAGTTAGCACGGTTTGATTCATTGGTCGATATCCGAAGTTCTTAGTCGATTGGAAGAAGTGTTAAAGCTGACTGGATCAGAGGTCAGGATGGTTGTGCCTCCGAGGGTGGCCGAGTTCCTGCACATAGGCCCTGGTCGGGGAGGTTCCCGACTTGGCCCCTCATAGATTAAGTCAGTGGTCTTGTTTTTCTCCTTTTTCCTTTCCTTTGGCCAGGTGTCGACCAGGGGTTTTTATACTGTTGTTCAAGGGTCGGTCATACGCGGACTTGGCGCGATGGTCGACCCCCGAGTGACGAGATGGTACCTTCGTGCAGTCGTAGCCCAGTATGCGTGGAGTGGTGCCATACGGCGCCGTCCCGAGCTTTCTAGGATGGGACTTGCTGAGGGGGGATCCTCTTTGTACGGGCTTCGGTTCGGCATGGGAAGTTAGCCCTCGTGCTGACTCGGTAGGGGTGTGATGTGGCGTGGGTCATGACATGGCCGGGATCCAAAATGTGCCCTATCACTTCTCCACCTCCCCCTGAGGAACCATATTTTGCGGCTTGGGCAGGAGCTGGACCTGTGGGTCGGGCAACTGAACTTGAGTTCAAGTTGGACTAGTGAGTCGTTGGTCGGCGGATCAAGCTACGTGAAAACTGAACCTGTTGGTCGAGCAGCTGAACTCGGATTCAGGTTGGAATGGCGAGTCATTGGTCGGCGGACCGAGCTACATGACTTGGGCAAAAACTGGACCTGTTGGTCGGGCAACTGAACTTGGGCTCAGGTTGGACTGGCGAGTCGCTGGTCGGCGGATCGAGCTATGCAACTCGGGCAAAAACTAGACTTGTTGGCCAAGCAACTAAACTCTGGCTCAGGTTGGATTGGCGAGTCATTGGTCGGCGGACCGAGCTACGCGACTCGGGCAAAATCTAGACATGTTGGCTGAGCAACTGAACTTGGGCTCAGGTTAGATTGGCGAGTCGCTGGTCGGCGAATCAAGCTATGCGACTCGGGCAAAAACTGAACTTGTTGGTTGAGCAACTGAACTCGGGTTCAGGTTGGACTAGTGAGTCGCTGGTCGGTGGACCGAGCTGCGTGACTTGAGCAAAAATTGAACCTATTGGCCGAGTAGCTAAACTCAGGTTCAGGTTGGACTGGTGAGTCGCTGGTCGGCGGATCAAGCTACGCGACTCAGGCAAAAACTGAACCTATTGGCCAAGTAGTTGAACTTGGGCTCAGGTTGGGCTAGCGAGTCGTTGGTCGACGAATCGAGCTACGCGACTCAGGCAAAAACTAGACCTGTTGGCCAAGCAACTAAACTCAAGCTTAGGTTGGACTGGTGAGTCATTATCGACGGATGGAGCTGCACGACTTGGGCAAAAACTAGGCCTGTTGGCCGAGCAACTGAACTCGGGCTCAGGTTAGACTGGCGAGTCACTGATCGGCGGACCGAGCTACACGACTTGGGCAAAAATTGGACATGTTGGCCGAGCAACTGAATTCGGGCTCAGGTTGGACTGACGAGTCGCTGGTCGACGGATCGAGCTGCGCGACTCGGGCAAAAACTGAACCTATTGGCTGTGCAGCTAAACTTGAGTTCAAGTTGGACTAGCGAGTCGTTGGTCGGTGGACCGAGTTGTACGACTTGGGCAAAAACTGAACCTGTTGGCCGAGCAACTGAACTCAGGCTCAGGTTGGATTGACGAGTCGCTGGTCAGCGGACCAAGCTGCGCGACTAGGGCAAAAACTAGACCTGTTGGCTGGGCAACTGAACTCGATCTCAGGTTGGACTAGCGAGTCACTAGCTAGCGGACCGAGCTACGTGACTCGGGCAAAAACTGGACCTGTTGGCTGAGCAACTGAACTCGGGCTCAGGTTGGATTGGCGAGTTATTGGTCGACAAACCGAGCTACGGGCCGGGCAAAACTTGGACCTATTGGCTGAGCAACTGAACTCAGGCTTAGGTTAGATTGGCGAGTCACTGGTTGGCGGACCGAGCTGTGCGACTCGGGCAAAAACTGGACCTGTTGGCCGAGCAACTAAACTCAAGCTCAGGTTGGATTGGCGAGTTGTTGGTCGGCAGACTAAGTTGCACGACTCGGGCAAAAACTGGACCTGTTGGCCGAGAAACTGAACTCGGGCTTAGGTTGGACTGGCGAATCGCTAGTCGGTGGACCGAGCTATGTGACTCTGGCAAAAACTGAACTTGTTGGTCGAGCAACTGAACTCGGGTTCAGGTTGGACCGGTGAGTCGCTGATCGACGGATCGAGTTACGCGATTCGGGCAAAAACTGAACCTGTTGGCCGAACAACTGAACTTGGGCTCAGGTTGGACCGATTTGGGCGACGATCGCCGGACGATGCACATGTAGTAGCGCACGTGCATGTCACAGTGCACGTGCCATAATGAGCGGAGCAACGCAGGTTCTAGCCGGAAATTTCCTATCACGAACGGGCTTTTTGGCGGGAACTTAAACTGGGGAATCTGGGGAGATTCGGGGAGTTATGGCAGGTTTAAATGTTGTGATCATCTCTTCCCTCAGGGAGCCTAAACGTCGCCTCAAGGGGGAGACAACACCATCCAGGGGGAGTTATGGCAGGTTTATAAGTCCTCTTCTGGAGCGATCGCCACAACACCATCCAGTTTCCTGTTCCATGCCTCAGATCTCTCCTCCTATCCTCGAGGTCGGGATGTCTTCATCTTCCTCCCTTTCCTCTTCTTCCTCCTCTTCCTCGGGTCGGTCGATTCCCGAGGCCCATGAGTCGACCTCCGGGAGCCCAAGGATAGAAGTAATTAGTTCTTCCTCGGGAGGTGTGTCCCCGAAGGACACCAAAACCTCTACCGCCTTCGAAATAATGAGGTTGTGGTATGATATAGACTCGGTGGTAACCGAGGAGCTCCTAGGTCTGATTCGGGACCGTTATTGTATCCCGATGAGCTATGGGCTCCATGCTCCATCTCCTGGTTAGAGTCCCTATGATCCGTTCCCCGATGGGTTCGGGCTAAACCATGGATGCCCTTGAGGCGAGATTACGGTTTTCTTTGAATCTCGTC